ATCTTCCCTAGTACCCTGTTTCAGGTTATTTAAAAAAAAAAAAAAAAAAAAAAAAAAAAAAAAAAAAAGAATTATCTTTTATTTTTTTTGCATGCCCGGGTACCCCGGGCGTCACGCCTGGGTGCCTGGCCGGGCGTGAGAATCTTCCTAGAAAAAAATAAGCAAGTAAAAAATATTTTTTAATTTTATTTATTTTAAATTTGGTAAATAATTTCGATGTGAGCCTGAGGCAGAAATTGTTCAGTTTATTTTGTCTGCATAGATTTTTTTTTCTTTTTGTTTTGCGGGACCTTCCCTGGTCCTTGCACAGCCAGGCCGCCCGGGAAAACAGGGTGACCGTGGCGGCCCGGCTGGTAGCCTAGTAAAAAACAATAAAAGCCCCCACCCTTTCCCCTGATTGCTTCCCCACCCGTTCCCCCGATCCTCCCCGATCCTGCCCGCCTGCCGATTGAATGGTTGATGATTGATTGATTGATTGTTCTTTTTCTTTTAATTGCAAAAAGAGCGCAAGTATTTGACTCCCCACCTTTTTCTTCTTCTTTTTTTTTTTTGGAAAAATGAGCCACGGCCCGTTGCGCCGCGCTGTCTGTCCGCTGCCACCCCCCCCACACACACATACAGACTTAGAGCCTAAGACCCTGCCACATGATCTGGGCCAATCTATCAATCAATCAATCAATCAATCAATCTCCCAATCAACCAATCAATCAATGAATATGGAAAAAAAGAAAAAGTTCAAAGAAAAAGATGCGCGCCGAACCCACACGTTTTTTTCTTTCAACTTTTTTTGTTATATATTGATTGATTGATTGGTTGGTTGGTGGGGGATCGCAGCCCGCCCGCACACACACACACACACACACACACACACACACACACACACACACACACACACACACACACACACACACACTCTTTTGGCGATCCATCGATTTTAATAGCCTTGGTATCAAATATCAATCGATACCGATTGATTGATTGATTGGTTGATTGATTTATTGGTGGGGGGGGTCACCCCCCGTGTGCGGCTCCTGACTCTCCTTGATCCTCCCTGATCCCAACCGCGACCCCGTTCATAATTCATCAATCAATCAATTAGTCAATCGGACAACCCATCAATCAATCAATCGGATGTGAATGGTTGATTGTTTGATTAATTGATTGATGGATTGGTTGATTGATTGATTGATTGATTGAAGACCTGCAAGCGCCGCCACGTGGCAGCATCGCTGCTGTGTGGCAAGTGCTTCTACCCCCCCGCCTCCTTTTCTAAATTCTAATTAAAAGGTCTCTCCTCACTTCAGTCAATTGATCAACCCATTAGTCGATCAATTCGATGTGAATGGCTGATTGATTGATTAATTGATTGATTAATTGATTGATTAATTGAATGATGCATTGATTGATTACTTAAACCAAAAAAAGAGAGAGATGGATTGATTGATTACATTGGAGAATAAAAAGAAGAAAAAAGAGAGAGAGAGAGAGAGAGAGAGAGAGAGAGAGAGAGAGAGAGAGAGAG